ATAAATAGGAACCTGTTAAAAAGAAGGCCAGCCACAGGCTGGGGGAAAACATCTGCAAAGAGATGGCTATGAGCACCTTTATACAAAATGTGCAGAGAGCTCTCAAAACTCACAGTAAGAAAATAAACACCCCACTTGAAGATGGGCGAAAGCTCGGAGCAGACTCCTCACCAACCCACAGAATAGATGATACAAGGAGTGGACCCTGACATCCCTAAGGTGGAGCACATGTCAGTGGAGGCGGCCCCTACTCACTTCAACCTACTGGGAGGCATCCTCACTCACCCCTCCTGCCACTAAGAGATTGTTTCCGAAAGAAGTTGGAAGTGAAATCACAACTGGTTGTCATAATTCACTCTGAATGTCTTTGAATATCTAAATAATCACAGGGTAGGGCCACCAAACCATCTGACCTGATGCAGTATGTATGATATTAACCAACATGGGGTGACATAGTGAGTTGTGACCAGCCTCCTGGCTCTGTCAAGAAGCTTCATAGAGAGCCTTTGGGTTCCTTTTCTCCCCAGCCCAAGGACCCTGCTCATCAATGAGAAGACTGGCCCACAAAGAGCCTGTCTGTTTTGCAAATGTTTGTGTAAGACATCTTCCTGGACTTGGTGCTGAAGAAACAGGGCAGCCCTTCTAAAGGACATAGGGCGCCCCTGCCCACAGGTCATCATGGTCCACCCAGCAGGGCTTCCTGCTGGAGATTGTGTAACATTTTAATAATTTTGACTCTGGAGAACACTTGGATCCTAAGCTGGTCCAAGCATGATTGTCCTGACTTTGAAAGTGAGAATGACAAATCCCTCCCGTGAACAAATGAAGACCAGATTTCCCTGCAGGGGATGTTTATGTCTCCCTGAGTCCCTGGTGGAAAAGAAGCAAAGCTTATTCTAACACTTATCCTAACATGTGTTCTATTTCAAAGAACCGGCTAGGTGCCTTACCCTGTGCCACAAACCTAAGGCTCATGGGGATGAGCCATTACCTAGGAAACTTTGAGTGTAAACAGACCTCACTGAGGTTCAGACCCAGCCTTATGGAGCAGGAAGGTGAGTGTTTCTGGCCTAGAGGCTTGGAAATGATCCTGAAATTGAAAATCTACTTTCATTGCATTTTCCCACCTTACAAAGGCAGAGTATGAGTTCAGCTTAAGTATACTTAGCACCCACAGAGCAAGGCAGACTCCCAGATTCTGCAGTCCATTGTTGTGGGTTCCTTGGGTCTATTAACTCTGTCTTCCTAGTAAATCACACTGTTACCCTCCGCACATTACAAATGAACCTGTGCTGGGTGATGGAGCACACCTTTAATCCCAACACTCAGGAGGCAGATCCTCCATGTACTCTGAAACTCAGCCCCTCAGCACCCCAGCCCCCTCCCACTGATCCCAAAGGCCCTTCCTTGATCAATACCACACAGTACCCCAACCTCTGCTCCTGCCTCACTACCTGCTCCCTCCTCAGCAGCATTCCTTCCCCAGAGTGGTTCTCACTGTACTGTGAACAGCTTCAAGGCTACAGCACTGAAAAAAGAGGACAAGGAATTTAAGTATGGTCTGTCTTCTGCATAAAGCTTCCACTCCATCCCAGTCAATGGGCAGGCACCTGCAATGTTACCATCACTACAGCCAGCCTCACACAGCTGTGTGACTGCAGCAGTTGTACAGTAAGTTCATGGTCAGGGCTGCATCCTGGCTCTGACCTTGACATAAGGTCACCTTGTGACAGGCACCTTCTTGCCCCCCTGGTGCCTTCCCCAGTAATTGGCAGAAAGAGGTCTTGTGCCACGCAGCACCATGCTTACCTGGCGGGCTGAAGGTGGCCTCCCATGTCATGGAGTTGTCTCGAGTATACAGTTCCACAGAGCCCTTGCCACCACTAGAACAGACTTTGAAGCCATCAGAGATGACCTGTCCCCCATAAGCATAAGGAGCTGGTCGGGACTGTTCTCCTTGTGTCTTCCAGAAAAATGAAAATGTGACCCCTGAGGAGAGAAACACACAGAGGTCAGCTGGTGCAGAACATACAGGAAATGCCCACGGCAATATCCATAGAGGGCCAGACACTTTGCTAAGAGCTGGATCTGAGCCATATGCTTTTAAATAGTGCAAGATTCTGCTACCATTCCCAGAACACAGAAGAAACTTAGGCCAGGTCCCCCTAGGCAATTAGTTTAGTGACTGTTTGAGGTTGAATGCAGACCCAAGCTGGCTGACCCTGGATGTACAAATGTGAACCTCTTTGCCAGTCTCCATTCTGCCTACTCACCCAGATCCTGACAAAATTGCCCTGTGAATGATTTTACAGAAAAAGGAATCATTTCATGCACACTGGTTATACACAACATCTTTTTAAAGATTTACTGCCTTGCGAACTTCCTTCCACATCCGTAAATACACTTTTACACTGTCGTTTTTTATGTCTGCCCAGCATCACATTCTAAACAGGGCCCACGGTTTTGTTTTGTTTTGTTTCAAACAACCTCCTGTTGCTGAGTCATATGGTTTTCTTCAAAATTCTGAAGGAATATTCCAAACAGAACTTGAAGCTAAATTTTTTTGACACATCTCAAATTGCATGTGTTTAGGGTACATTCCGAGGGGGATGTTCTCATAAATAGGGGAGCTCGCTTTCAAGGTCTAGGATGTCTTTGTTGCCCTCTGCCCACGGATGAAGGTTCGAGGTAGGCAGAGATGCCGGCAGCTACCAGGCTTTGCAGACACTTAACTGCGGAGCTTTATTAAGTGTGATAATTAGTTTTAATTATCAATGTGACACAACCTAGAATCAGTGAGGGATTGTCTAGACAAGGTTGGCCTGTGGCCATGTCTATGGGGGACTGTCCTGATTGTCTTAATTGATGTGGGAAGACCCAGCCCACAATGATTGGCATCATTCCCCGGGTTGGGTCCTGGACTGTATAAGAGTAGAGGAAGAGAGCTGAGTCCTAAGCACGCGTACATGCGTTCTCTCTGCTCTTGACTGCAGATGTGATGTGATGTGACTGTGGTTTTAAGTTCCTACTTTCTTGATTTTCCTCTATGATGGACTGTAATCTGAATTATCAGTCAAAACCCCACCTTTCTCCCCCAAGTTGCTTTTAGTCAGAGCATGTTATCACAGCAACAGAAATGAAAGTAGAACAGTGGGTTTGAATGCCAGACCCCATGCTGGGGTGAGGGTAGTATTCCACATGGACTATGGGGCCTCTGCTACAAACATTGTGAATGAGTTGGGTCATAATGGACATGACCCTTCATCCCCAGATGCAGAGAGAACAGCCAGGCTCTGAATGCTAAGAGTGTCTGGCATGAGTGCTGGCAGGTCTAGGCTCACCTTCTGCTCAGGACCTAGTCAAAGGCCCAGGTGGGTTACACTGTGAATGATGCCACTTCCATTGCTTCCCTGCCTCCATTAACCTGGGCCCACCTCTGTTACCTCATGTGTAAGTATACTGTGTGTCTGTGTGTGTGCATGTGCACTAAGTAACTACCTGCTGGACTCTTGTGTGTGGAAGACAGAAATAAATTAACCGCCTGGCTCCTCCCTCCTGACCCAAGAACAGGCCACCATGGGGAAGAAGAGGGAGACAGGTGTGGGAACATTTGTCTTGATCTATTTACATAAATAGCACCAAATTCACATTAGCTGTTATCTTCAAATGAGGCCATGGGCACCGGTTTAAAAGATACCTGTCCCTGGTGGGTAAATTGGATACTTGTTGCCAGCCATCTTTGCTGTAAGGCCTTATGGATTGGCATGTTTGGCAGAAGTCCTTTGAAGGTCTTGTAACCATCATGCTGCCTAGGCTTCCTGGTGTCAAAAGTCCCATGTGACTAACATAAGCATGGGGAATGTGGCACAAGTTTCCGAGCCCTGACTTGGAATTTCTCCATTTTATTTTTCTATTCAAGAGAAACCTCAGTACTTTGAAAATTCCTAATATGAATAAATAACAAATGAATGACAAATGTTTGGGATGACAAATCGCTTGAATTACCATGCTCTGGTCAGTCCTCACTGCATACATGTATTGACGACACTCTATACCCATAAGAATGTGTGATTGCCCTGTGTGGATTAAAAATGAAAACCAAGACTGATGAGATGGCTCAGCAGTTAAAAGTACTTGTCACATAAGCTGAGTTCTGTAGTTTGGATTCCCAGAACCCACATAAGTGCCTGGGCATGGCAGCCAACTTATAATTCCAGCCTCAGAAGGCAGAGACGGGGGATCCCCAAAGCAAATTGACTAGGGAGGCTAGCCATATTGGTGAGGACTGGGTTTGATTGAGAGACCCCGTCTCAATGAATAAAATGAAAGAGTAGTGAGGATGACTGCCAGCATCAACCTGGGGCCTCCACACACATGCACACACCACAAAAAAAGGGAAAAAAGAAAACCAGCCAGGCCTTGTGGGTAATCCTGTGATTGCAACTACTCAGGAGTCTGAGGCCACGGGGATCACACACTTAAAGCCTCCCTGAACTACAGAGTGAGTCCAAGGCCAGCTTTGACAACTTGAGATCCTGCCTCACACACACACAAAATCAACAATGTAGTTCAGCAGTACATCACTTACCTGGCATTCACAAGGCCCCAGATTTAACACCCAGGACTGTAAAACAAAACCTTCAAATACTAGAAGGGACCCAGACCTCTCTGGGCCTCTGGGAAGCTCAGAGTACAATCCAGGTGTGAAGGGCACCCTTGTGCTTCAAAAACAAACTGATGCCAAGTGATCCATGGCCATGAGGACAGGATGACTGTGAGAAGCTCCGGGTGGGGCTGATCCAGGCCACCCTGGCTGTGGAGGAGGGGTGCAGGCCTCACCCTCCTGTTCTGCATCCCATGTTTGAGTGGCACAGAGGCACATCAACTCTGGGCCCCTGCCCACCTCAACCAATTTCACAGGGAAATGAACATGAAACATTATGAAATATTTGTTATGAAACGTATTCCCAGCAGGATTCACAGAAGTCATTTCCCCCCCAAAAAATTCCTTTCACTCAACTCAAAACGATGTTGCCTCAGCCAAATGTGTCTCTGCCCAGGAAGAAAAATAAAAATTAAAAATTCAACATGGTATTAGGTAATAGGAATAAAAATTAAAAATTCAGTGTGTGTTGGACCTGGACAAGGAGAAAGCAGGCTGCATACCCTGCCAGCAAAGCCACTCCTTTTAGCTCAGTCAACCTGCAAAGCAACTACTGCTGTCTGAGGAAGAGCTCATTGAAATATCAGTCTGTGTCTCCACACTCTGGAAAGATTCACATTGTGTCCACAAGAGCACATGTCAAAAACTCAGAGCATCAGTACAGAGGAGGAAGTCTGAAGGGAGAAGAAATAAACACGACATGACAAATTGATTCCATATTTTGTCCTTGTTAGGATCAGTGAATCCTAATCCATCCACAGCCCCTTGTTGGGATGTGCTGGGATAGACAGCTGCATCGGCCAGGCAGCCAGGCCAGCTGGGCCCGCCTGGTTGACACACTGCAAATGCCTGCCTCGGCTGAGCATTGCACAGGCCTCAGAGAGCCAGCATCTGCCCAGACAGAGTCCCTACAGAGCCAGAGACAAGAAAAGAGATGTGAAAACAGGCTACCATCAACTACCAAGCCCTAGGGAAGAGGTGCCACACAGACAGGGGCAGAAGCACCCGAAGTGGAAGAGCTTGCCCCACAAAGGGAGCATGGAGCATGGTACATGCAGGTACATGTCCAACTCTCCAGGCAGTCCCTTCCAACTCTCAGCTTCCCACCTGGGTGCTCTATGAATGCTCCACAGGTTGAAGGAACACAGACAGCTCCCTAAGGCTGGTGGTCCAGGCTGAGTATGTGGCTCAATTGATAAAGAGTGCTTGCCTAGCATGCATGAAGCCCTGAGCTGGATCCCTAATACTGGATAAAACCAGGTGTGGTGGTATAGACCTGTAATCCCTGTCTAAGAAGGAATGAAAGGGAGGGAGGGAGGGAGGGAGGTGAGAAAGGGAGAAAGGGGGAAGAGAAGAAGGCGGAGGAGGAAGGCAGGCAGTCTGGTATTTTCAACGGCTATTTGAACTGGGAACCAACTGAAAGTGTGGGTTTGTAAACCCCACCAAGATTTTGACCTTAAAACTGTTACACAGGGTTTCTCAAAAAGCTAAAAGTAGAACTACCATATGATCCAGTTACCATATGGGGGAATGTGGCTGATTTTTTTTTTTTTTTTTTTTAAAAATAAAAATTTTTTTTTTTTTTTTTATCTTTACTTAAATACTTTAAAGTTTCATGCCTCTCACAACATACACCTTC